AGTGAGGTCCATCCCCCGAAGAGCGGCCCTCACTGCCGCCACGTTTCCTCAGCACCCGCTGCCTGCGGGCGTTGCACCGAGTGCGTATCCGGCCCTCACGCAGCCCTCTGCAGTGGGTGGACAGTCTCGTCCCCATGCTAACGATGAGGACACTGAGAGGTCAAGGGCACACAGCTAGGACAGGGCGGGGCTGGAATTCCCCCAGGTGGGCCCACAGCCTGAGGGTCCTCCTGGACGTGAGGCCAAGTGAAGGAAATATGTTTGGAAGGCGCATTGCCCTCCCCAGCAAGAGCTGGCCATCTGTCTCTGTGGCGTGCATGGCAGACATTCATGACAAAGTGACTTCCTGTGCCACTGCAACAGCAGGCAGGCTGGACAGATGCTCTGGCCACTGGAATCAGGACCCTGACCCTCCCAGCGGAGGTAGGATGTGTCCAGCCTTCACACCCCGGTGGCAGGGTGCCCTGTGACGGTCAGAGACCCAGGCACATCAGGGCTGTGGGCACCAAGAGAGGCACCTCCTGAACAGGCTCCCAGGGCTGCAAGGCAGGGAAAGTGGGGACCAGACACCTTTTTCTCCAGGGAGACTCAGTGCCAGCTGGAACTGGGGACTCTCTCTCCCTTCCTTTTCTGGCCGGGAGACTTCCCATGGCTCCTGAGGCTTCAGTCATGGGGCACACACCCCAACTCTTCCATAGCGTGAGCCTCTCTCTGGGTGCTGGGTCACCAGCTCCTCAGCAAAGCCCACCACAGAGCGCACACTTCCTGTGCCTCGATGAGGGGTTTATCCTGGTGCTGAGCTCCAGGCTGGTGCTGCTACAGACAGGCATTGAGAGACCGCGTGTGTCTGTGTGCGACAGGCTTCCCTCGCGGTCCCCGGGGGCAGCGGGCACCCCCAGGGCCAGTACAGTCAACCCGGGTTCGGAGGGCTCTGTGGAGAGGCCCCTGGCAGAGAGATTTGTGGCTCCTTCACTTGCTCTGTCCTTTCAAAAGTCGGGGCACTGCAGTTTGTATTCAGAAGACACCATGGCAACCGGGCTTTTAGGATGCTGCCTGCCTCTGCACTGCCGGCGTTTCAGAATAAACTTAACCCTCATGCAAGGAGCTTCTGGAGGCTGCACGGCTGCTGAGGACCTGTGCCTCCTGCCCCTCCTACTCACGCAGCAGTGTGCACTAGAGAAGGCATGGGGCCAGGAGCCTGGGCACCCCGCTTTCTCTGGGCCTCAGTTGCTTCATTTCTAGATGAGGAGGTTGGAATAAATGATCAGGGTGTAAAGTCCTGACTCTAATGAGCCAAATGGGGCTTCAAGTGTTTAAAAATGTGGTCACCTTTCTGTTCCTAGATTGCCTACCGGGACCGGCTGAAGGACATTCGAGCCACCCTAGAAATTTCTCCCTTCTTCAAGTGCCACGAGGTGGGTATTGGGCTGTTGCCATCTTGGGCAGAAAGCCATGGTCCGTGCAGCGGGCACGACATTTGGGCCTGCCACCTGAGCGGTGAGCGCACCTGCCGCCATAACAGACCTGCTCGCTTCAAAAGTCCAAGGATGACCACAGCCAGACGCAGGCCATCCAGGATCAGGCTCCTCACCTCAGGCGGGAACCAGGTTGTGACACTTTGGTGCCAGGCACCCTGGGATGACCACACTGGGCTGTCCTGCCTGCGATCTGAGGTCATCGTCTTCTCTCTGCTCCCTCCCGGCCACTGTGGCTCATCTGACTAGTGTCTTAGGACAGAAGCTCTCCGAGCTCCTAGAGTAGCCAGGTAACCCCCACCTGTCGCCACCTTGGGACCTGCAGGGCGAGCAGGCAGGCCTGCAGGAACCAGTCCGAGAGCAGGGCTGGAACTTTCCGCCTGCTCCCGCCTTGGCCTGCAGGGGCAGTGGGCAGCAGACAAGGAACCAGACTCCTGAGACAGAGGATTCGGGAGTTGTCGGCGGGTCCCCTGGAGGGTCTGTAAGGTCCTGACGTCAGGGCTCCCGGCCCCACGTGCCTGCGCACGCACAGCTGCAGCTTCTCTGCACGCACACCGCTCCCCGGGGAATAGCTGCCTCTCAGGTGCCCTTTCCTCTCCTCGGGCTCATTAAAGCCCAGTGGCCTCAGGTCCTTGGCTCCTCCTGATGCCTCTGCCTTCCCAGCTTGAGACGAGGGCTCTGTGGAGCCTGCCAGAGCCTCCCTTGGCTCCGCCCGCCCACTTCCTCTGGGGGCTGGGGCCAAGCTGGAAGGACTTCAAGCCCCTGACCTCCTGGGCTGGTGCAAGGGCCTGGCTGTTGCCCTCGGCAGCCCCAGGCTTTGTCTCACATCTCGCCCCTCCCCCCCTCGTCTTACTACCTTTGCTGTTATTTCTTGATTTTTATTTTTTTTTTTACTGTCCTCATCTGGAGTCTCACTGGGAAACCTCAGGTTCAGAAAGAGGCCAAATTATTGGGGTTTCTGTTCGCTCTACTGGGAAGAGGAAGCCCCTTCTCTGGGGTCAGCATTTCCAGGGCGTCTTCCCCGCCCTGTGCGGGGCCCTGCGAGCTGTGATGGCCCCTCAGCCTCTCCCCGAACCTGCTCTCCCGGCCCCACACAGGTGACCAGGGGAAGGGTTGGGAGCTGTGCGCATATTCGAGAAGGCACCTTACCCCATGCAGTTGCTCTGACCTGGCCCAGGGCAGGGAGGGTGCTTTGGTGCCTGCTGTGCCTGGGAGAATCACACACAGGGCCCCGCCTCAGAGACCCAGCTGGGCCCGTGTGCCCAGGACTTTCAGGGGTATTGCTGCTGGGCCAGGAGGTGATGTGGCCTCATCGCCTGGTGCCGAACGTGGCATCTCCTTGGAGTCCTCTCTTTCACACGAGTGGTTACTCGGGGTGTTGGGGAGTCACATTTTAGGAAGAGGAGGGTGAGGCCCCAAGGTTCGCCCTGGTCTGAAATAGAAAGCGTGTAGGCTGGGTGGTGGGGATGGGGTCTGCCGCCTGGGACTTCCTCCCTGCTCCCTGCCACCACCCACGCAGGAGGTAGAATCCGATGTCCTCCGCCCCCCCCCCGCCCCGCTGCACGGCCACTTCGCTGCCCAGGCCAGAATGGCGGAGGAGGGGGCGGTCAGAGTCGCAGGCTCTAGGCCTATCCTGAGCGACCTTTCCCCATGGCCCCCCTGCACGGCCACTTTGCTGCCCAGGCCAGAATGGCGGAGGAGGGGGCGGTCAGAGTCGCAGGCTCTAGGCCTATCCTGAGCGACCTTTCCCCATGTCATTCAGGCCTCAGGCTTCCCCAGGTCCCCCGAGGTGCCAGGTGGCAGTGCAGAGGGCAGGGTAGGGGCTCCGGCGATCCCCTCCTCACCTCCCCGCTCCCCGCACCCCTGCAGGTCATCGGCAGCTCGCTCCTCTTCATCCACGACAAGAAGGAACAGGCCAAGGTGTGGATGATCGACTTCGGGAAAACCACGCCCCTGCCCGAGGGCCAGACCCTGCAGCACGACGTCCCCTGGCAGGAGGGGAACCGGGAGGACGGCTACCTCTCCGGCCTGAACAACCTCATCGACATCCTGACGGAGATGTGCCAGGGCCCGGGCGCCCCGCTGGCCTGAGGCCCCCGCGCCCCGCGCCCCGCGGCCGCTGCTCCGGTCTCTCTCCTCGCCCTTCGCTCCCCTTCTTCCTCCGTTTTCTTGCTCTTCCGCCCGGGTGCAGGTCCTAGAACGGACCCTCCGAACTGCACCAGGAGACACTTTGTAGAGGACAGACGAGCTTTGCTAGCTGTTTTCCTGGTGGAAGGGCTTGGCGCGGGGCTTCCCCCTGTCTCTGTGCACAGGATCTCCTGCTACGAAAGTAATGGCCTGTTGCCCTTAGATCTCGATGGAGGCTCAGGTGGCCTCTGGCTGGGCTACCTGCGGGGACCTGCTGCCCCCTGGTGGCCAATGCCATTGGCGCCGCTGCCCAGCACTGCCGGTTTCTGTCCCATCCCCGCAGCCTGGCTGGGTGGGCCCGCGTTGCAGCAGGTGCTTGGTGCCAGGCTTTCCCGTGGTTGGGGCACAAAATCACTGGGAACCTCATGTGGGCCACGAGTAAAGCACTCCGCGTGGCAGTCCAGGGGCTTCCAGAGACCTGTGGGGGCCCTGGTAGGGCTGCTAAAGCCGGGCCCTTTACCGGCTGGTATTGAAACGGTCCAGCTTTCGGCTAGATCCAGGAGCCAGGAGAAGGCCTGGGCCGACTCGGCCGTGCCCTTGGACGTTGGCCTTCGCAGCTGGGGGCAGGCAGAAGCTGTGACTCCACCTGTGATTGTTGCCCATGAATTCAGAGGGATGCTCTGCACCCCTGAGCTCCCAGGGCTGCACGCGCCCCACCCCCAGAGCCACTTACACCTCCCACCTCCCCCCCACCTTGCTGTGGCGAGGCCAGGGGGCTGGTGGCCTTGGGCCAGGGCACAGGCAGCCCCCAGAGGAAGAAGGAAGCTGCAGAGGACGCTGCTCTCACGTCCCCGCACCTCTGCCACCTCCCGGTCCCACACTGTCACCCTGCAAAGCAGGGATTCTTTCCCGAGTCTGGCGTCCCCAGCAGTTCACAGGCAGGGCTTCAGACCAGCGCCCGGCGGGGAGGACACAGGAAGCTGGCTTACTGGCATCCGTTTTTTTCCCCCTGAAAAAAGTCTTACATCCTGAAGGGCTTAGACCCACATTTCCCAAATGTAGTGTGGGCAGCTTCCAGGGTACGTGCTGGGTGCCAGGGGGCGTTCCAGGCATCTCTTCCCGGAGCATCTAGGTTGCTTAAAGATTCGTGGGAAACCAATCGTGAGCTTTATTCTAATTGTAAAGCAAGTCAGTCTACATTATTGAGAAGAATGTAAAATTTGCATGACTTTTAAAGATGGAATTCTAGCAATGGCCATTTGGAGCTGTACCCCCAGGTACCCCTTTTGCTGTCAGAGGAGAGTTGGGGACCAGGCCAGCAGGCACCCGGGACAGGGTGAAGATGGTGTGTGCCCAGGTGTGTTCCTGGAGGGACCAATCCAGAGGGAGGGCTTCCTGGGCCACCCCCTCCGTCACCCCAGGGTCTCGGGGGGAATCGTGACCTCGCCCATGTGACACGTTTCCCTTTTCATGCTGGTGAGTGACGGTTAGTGGGGGCGGAGGGTGGGACACGAGGATGTATTAGTTCAGATTTCTAAAAAGGAAATCACTTTTAAACTTCCTGGCTCTTGTTCAAAACAGTGGTGAACTCCTGTGTGGGCTGACTTGCTAAAGGTCACGCCCCCACTCCTGCAAAGCACGAGAGACCGTGTGACAGCACATGATCCTGGGAGGCAGGAGCACAGGAGCTGTAGTCACTTGGGGGTTAGAAGGGACCCCGGTGATCCACATGCAGCTCTGTGGGAAGGGACATCATTAATTCAAATGTCACATTTCTACAACGATGGTCTGGCCAAAAGTTACCCTCTTATCTATGAAAAAGAGTTTGCTAAAGCAAATTAATGCTATGAACAAAACTTACAGGGGACCAGGTGCACCTACTTAAGAGAACAAATTTTCCAAGCACTTTAAGCAAACACCAGTTGTTTGCAAACAATGTGCTAATACGCAAATGACTTGTTTATTAAAGGAGGCCCGTGGGGCCCCTCGTTGGCAATACTTTGCTTTGGGTTACATTATATATGTGAAAGTGGCGTACAGTGGCATCTTTTTAGGGTTACTGTATTATTTAGGGGTTCGGGGTTCTTGTATTTACCGTGCTAGTCCTCTTCCACACCTGCTCTCTTTCTCAACCCATTCTCCGCTTTGTCCTCTCATCCCCTTGTCCCGGTGGGATAGATGGATCTTAGAATGGAATTTTCCGGAACCCCGCCCAGGCTGTCTATAAGACCTTCCCTGCCCCCACCGCTTAGCCCTCAAGGAATGTTTTCCAACTGCTCGTCCCAGACTTGCCTTTAGTGTCATGTAAGAAGTTTTTAAGTTATATTTATATATATATATTTTTTTTTTGTTTTGGTTTTTTAAATTGCACAAAACACTAAGACTGAGAGGCTGGATTCTGTTTCTTTAAAGCTATGCCTTCTTTCTGAATTTCTCTTCTGCTCGGTGGAAAGACCCGGATGCAGCCCTGCTGCGCCTCCGCCCCCCGAATGGACTCTTTCCTCCGTTAGCTGTATTTAGCTTTGAGTTTCTCTGCATCCGGTCAGTCCCTGTGTGTACATAACACATGCCCCTTCTTGGGAAGAAGCGGGGTGTTCACCCCTCGCCAGGGCCTTTTTCTTGGAAGAGAGGGCTTCTCGGAGGGGTAGCCTCCCCTCTACACCCCCTCTCCCTGCGACACCTTGGAAAAAACTGAACTGTTACAGCCCCCCCGCCCCCCGCACAGTTCCTGTCAGACAGACTGCAAACACTCTGTACCTTCCTGAATAAAGGCCCAGAGCCCGCGATGGCGTCTGCAGTGTGGTCCTTCTGACTCCAGCCCTCGAGAAGTGGCTCTGGGGTGGGGAGTCCGGGGGGCTCTGGAAGCTGATTGGGGCTATGACGATCCTCGAGAATGGGGTCCGACTGGATAACCTTTCAATCTGCAAAGTGTTTAAAATACTCTTTAAAACTAGTCTTTTCAAAATTGACCAAGTTAAAAATCTGCTCCACACACCCCCCCCACCGAAAAAAAAAAACCAACCCAAGCCTTTTCTACTTTCGCCACCAAATATTTGCATAGCAGCTCAGGGACATCGAACAGCCACAAAGAAGTGCTCCACCCTGGCTGGGGGAGCCCCTGAAACCTTTGGGGGGGCTCACATCTGAGCCCCATATCAACTCCGTGAACAAGGCTGTGTCGTCTCCGTTTCACAGATGGGGAAACTGAGGCGTAGAAAGATCGAAGACCTCGATCTGAGTAATAAACGGGGAGCAAGGATTCAGATCCAAACTTGGCCTGATTACAAAACCCATCCTGCCTTCCTCCCGACCCGGGCAGTGTCTGCAGGCCAGTGAGCTGCGCCACCTTTGCCCAGGTCCCAGGCGCCAAGCACCAGACTCGGTATGTAGCATCCTCCGAGCGAGGATTTGTGTGGGGCCAGCGAGGAAAGCGGAGAGCAGGAGTCCCTGCCGCTCATCGAGTTCACCGCCATCGACCCGCTTCCCCTCGGGCCTCTCCCCACTCGGCACTGCCGGGGGTTCCTTTGCAGAGTTCCGTGTTTGGGGGCAGGTACGACCTTTATCAATTTGAAAAGTTATAGGACAGAAGTACAGAAAAGCTGCAGGGCCTTTGCACCTTCCGTCCTGCCTGGGCTTCGTCCCCCAGGTTATCACATGGTAACTACGGTAACTTCGGATTCTCCCATCTGTACCTTATTCCTGTCACTGTCCCAGCAGCCAGCTCTGTGGGCTCCCAGCAACGTCCACCCAGGTTCAACGAGGGGTCTTCCCAGGCCCGTGCCTGGGTAACCTCGAAGTCTGGGGGATCCAGCCCTCCATGGTACAAACCTTGCACCAAGGGGAGATAAGAACAGGCCGATAGGTCTTTACCTCCGACCCTACTGATGGATGTAGCCTGGCTCACTTTCCAGTGGAAGGTCCAGCTGCCCTTAGTGGAGCCACGTTGATCACTGGGAAATCCCAGAACTAAGTCATCTCACAGGCCTAAGACCACCGACTGAAGACCTCACCTTCCACTCCATGTCACCCCACTTAACCCCGGATGAAGGCCATGGTGACCGATGTGGCCACCTTACCTCCACCAGCAATGTAGCCTCTGTGGCCTCCACACCAGCGGGCAGTCTGACTTCAAGGTCCTGTCCCTGAGGTTCTGCTCTCTAGGGCGGCCAACCGTTCCGGGACAGTCCTGCATCCTGGGAAACCTGGGGGTCACCCCACTTTCTGGGACCACTTCTGGCACCGACTGAGTGCCTTAGCCCGGGTTCCCTAGCAAAGGGAACCCAAGGTTAAAGCTTGGGAGCCAACATTTGATTGGGGAGAGTGACCCCCAAGGAGCTGGGGTGGGGGGGGGCAAGGCAGAGACAAAGGCAACATGACCACGAGGGGACGTGTCGGGCCCCTGCAGGGCTGCGGGGGGTCGCTCCTGGGGGAGGCAGGGGCAGAAATGGACACGCCAGCCCCTTCCCGTTTTGCCTCTGACCGGTCATCTGCCCAGGGGGGTGGCACTGCCAGCCTCTCCAGCAGCTTGTGCCCAGGTGCCCATCACCTAGCAAGTGGGTGGGGGGCAGTGTGGCTCTGTGACCGTAGGGGCAGCACAGGCCATTGCTGGGTGGCTCCAGGCTGGGATGCAGTGTGAACCAAGTCTCCCAGCGAATACCAGCAGGGTAGTGCCCATCGGCCCCCCACTCCCTGTCTGTTCTTCCATTCTGCCCCTTGCATCTTCCTGAGGGCCTTGCCCCCTTACCAATGAGGGCAAGAGGCTGGGGTACCATCAAACTGCCCCCCAATTCTGCCAGGTGCAGGGAGGAGAGAGAAGTCGAAAATAACAGACTCCTGGGGGGCCTCCAGGGAGTGGCTAGGGGCGCTCGCTGTCTCGGTGACCGGGAGGCTGTCTCCAGACCGAAGACCAGCAGCAAAACCTCCTCCGATGAGTCAGAGAAGCAGCTCTTAGGAGGAAGCCCCCGGGACAGGGACCAGGAGACCCACGCCCGCCTCTAGGTAGCGGGGCCCGGTCGGCCCTGTCACCCCTCTTCCCCACATCTGTTAGGGCCCCAAGGTCGAGGGGAGGGTCTTCATTGAAGATTGGGAAGTCACGTGGCTTAACATAGTGGTTCTTCACCTTTCTCGGGGATCACAGATGCCTTAGGTCATCAGAGGAAGCACTGCACCCCCTTCCAAGCAGTCATACACCCATGGGGGGCTCCTAGACATCCCCGAAGTTCCTTGATAAACCCCCGGGGGGTGTTTGAGCCCCAGCTTAAGAACCCTTGGCTGGTAATAGTCCTTCCCAATAATACATATTGACATGAGCCCCCTCCCCTCTCTGCAGCAGAGACCGGGGACCGGCCTGGCCTCTGCCCCCCACTCTCCCCCTCCCTTTGCCATCCAGCCTTCTGGACAGGCGTCGCCTTAGGGCTGGGACCTACCTGTTTGTAAACAGAGCTTTACTGGAAGGAAGCGCGCCCGTCACTTTATGTACTGCCCACGTCTGCTTTCCACGAAGACAGCGGAGTAGTCAGAGGCTGCGGCTGCAAAGCCTGACATACTTACTGTCTTGTCCTTTATAGAAAAGTCCTCCAACCCTTGCCTTAGAGTAAAGGTGACCGCTGAGGAAGAATTCCTACCTATCTGGCACCATACCAGGTGATTTAAGGCGAAGTAGTTTAATCCTTACAAAAACTCGGTGAGATGGGCTTCGTTAACCCTGTTTGGGACCTAGGAAAGCAGAAGCACGGAGAGGGTGAGGAACATATGTAAGATCACACAGCTGGTAAGCTGCAGACCCAGGCTCAGAACGAAGTCTCAAGACCTCTCCAGATCCTGCATGACTGAGCCTCCTGAGCAGCAGCGCTGGTCCTGGCGTCCGGCTGCATCACAGGACTGCAGGGACAGCCAACCGGTCATCCAGTCATGAGTCCTGGGTTTGGTGACTATAAACCTGAGCAGGCCCCGTGAACGCTGATGCCCAGCATGGCCGTCTCCTGGGGGTGGGGGCTGAGCTGCAGAGAGCCCAGGCCTTGGCCCCAGCTGTCCTGGGGGAGTTGGGGTGGGGGTGGGGGGGACCCTGGGCCAAGAGCTCGCTGACAGCGGCGCTGTTCGTTCCAGGCTCTGTGTGACCCTGTGTGACCCTGTGTGACCCTGCAGGGAAGCGCAGCCCACGCAGCCCTCTGTTCCCTCACAGCACAGTGACACACAGACACGCAGACTCACTGCCGTCCCCCGCCCGCCCCACCCCACGGCAGACTGTACAGAGCCAAGTTCACGTGCCAGCGCACGGGCTGGCTCAAACGCCCTTCCACAGAGACACCAAAAACTCCTCTCAGTTCTTGCAAACATCAAGAGACAGCGTGTGTGTCATTTTTCTCTCTTTACTGTGACAGCTGTGGCCTGTTCCTGGCATTTCGTGCACCGTGCCAGCCCTGAGATGACAAATTCAACGGAGAAGTAAGGAAGGGAATGGCAAATGCAGAGCAAGAAGAGGAATTTCACACTTCAATGAGATGTGAGGGCTTGAAAAAAAACTAGTTTAATAGAATAACAATGACAATAAAATATGAGAAAATGTAGTGCTTCCTGAGTAGATGCTGGTTGCAGCTGGCTCCGGCCACCATAACAAAATACCACAGGTTGGGTGGCTTAAATAATGGGAGTTTATTTTCTCATAGTTGCGGAGGCTGGAAGTCCAAGATCGAGGTCTGGCAGGGTCTGGTTTCCGGTGAGACTCTCTTCCTGGCTCGCAGATGGCCACCTTCTCTGGTGTCTCTCCATCTTTTAAGGACACCAGCCCTATCTGATTAGGGCCCCACCAGGATGACCTCATTTAACCTTTATCAGGTCCCCGTCTCCAGATTGGGGGCTGGGGCCTCGACATATGAAATTGAGGACACAAGCATTCGGTCCGTAACAGGGTCGCCTCTTGCTAACCAGCATCACGAACTCCACTTTCCGTCCTCTGCTTCCCAAACTCGTGAGTGAGTACAGCGGTTTTGGGGTGTGGAGTGGGGGGTGGGCGGCTGGGGAGTGCAATGTTGGCTTCTGTGGTTTTCCATGTGGCAAAAAGTATTTGGGTTATTTTAAAAATAGTTTCTGCAAATCACGGACAAAAAGTATCAGACTGAGACAATTTGCTGTCGCCAGCAGCCCTGTTTTCTTTCAATGGGGGAAAAAAAATGCCCAATTTTAGTCATGCTCTCTGAGAACACTTGCCGGAGTGAAATCAAGACCTTGGGCTTCGGAAGCTGCTGAAATAGCAGGACCCCGTCTGGGCAGCCTGCCCCCTTCTGGACAATCATGTGCACTACAAGGCACCTGAAGAAAAGGAAGGAGGTGGTCAGTTCATTGAACTTACAGGTCTGGGCGCCCCGTTGCTCAGCCAGCCTCCTCTCCTGGCCCCCAGGAAAAAGGAAAAGAGAAGGTTCCCTTCTTTTCATGGCTTCTTCCAGCCTAGCTACATCTTTGGCCTGATAGTCCACTGATATGATGAACTGCATCGATTAATGATCGAATCTGGAACCAGTCTGACCTTCCCAGGGTAACCCTCGTGTGGCTTGAACACAGACGGACACCAGAAAACTCTGGTCTGAGGGGAATGTTCCATGTCTTCATGGAGGTCATCGTTATGCAGCGGCACGTGTTTGACAGATTGTACACAGGACTGTGCATAGAACGGTAAAGGATAAATTGTACTGCGTGTCCATCATTCTTCAAAAAAATTTAAAAAACCTGACTGAAAAATGAACTGATCTCTAAAATGAATAAGAAAAAGCCTGGGACATAAGAGAAAAGC